CCTCACGACTTACTGACTTATTTTGGCTCAAATATTCAGACCAAAGGAAAAGAGCATAGTGGAGGGCTATAGAAAATCTGCTCCCACACCACAGCAAACAACATAAATGATAAGAGTGGCAGACAAGGATAAAATTTCTCAGCACATGTCCCCAATGAACACCTTCCAAGCAGGCCCCACTACCCCAAAACACATTCACATACTGAACTTATCAATGGGTGAGTGAATCAATCAAAAATGGTGAAGTCCATATGATCCATTCAAGTTCCAAACAAAAACATATATACAGGATATTTTAGAAATAAACCACAACACAAGGGCTCCTGTTGGAAAAAGAAACAAGAAGAACAAGACAGTGCAGTACCACTGAAACAAACACTGCATGTGAGTCAGCAGATCCACCTGAACTGTCCTGTTGTCAGTGCCCATTGCAATGGGAAGTGATGCAGCAGGTGATGTACTGCCCATGACAGTGCCCTGGACACGCTTAAGCCATCCTAATGTGTGCAGGATGCTGAGGGCCTAGAAGATTCTTGCCCTCTCCTTGAGAATGAGAAAAGAACAGGCACAAAAGCAGCAGTTGACCTACAAGAATAAGGCTTCACAGCTAATGCACATGGGTCAGGATCCTGCCAAGTTGGTTCTGTCTACACCCAACTGACCTTATGCCTCCATTACAGCCCCACTCCTGTCTCAGGTCATTGTTCTGTGCACATCACCATTTCCAAGAATAGGGGATCCTCAAGGCCCTTCCCATACAACCTAAAGTGAGTAAGTCTCACACAACCAGTCAGGGTGAGCCAGCTAGAGTGCTTTTCACCAGCACACTGGGGGCTTCTGACTTGGGTTCCTGACAAAGATTCCTCCTAGACAGCATGCCTGACTGGACAGTTTACACAGGACCAGTCTTTCTTCCTTAATGCCCTGCTTACCCATTTCTTGCCCTCTTAGCTAAAATGGGCAACAGAAAATATACACTACCTGGTTAAGAGTAACACAAACAACGGACTTTAACTAGAACCCTTCCCATCAGTCTTTTGCATAAACACAGACTTTACCCAGAATGGAGACTATCATCACTGAAGCAGAATTGGCTTCTCAATGTCCAGCTGCTGCTGTTTTCTTACTGAACTTGTTAGGCTGTTCCTGAATATCGTTAATAATTATCAGTCCACAAGTATACTCTTTCCATTCCAGACTCTGTATCACATGGAGAAAACCACCATATCCAAGTAAGAACTGGACTGCAGGCAGGGATAGGACAAATTGGAAAGGTCTAAATTTCTCAGAGGCTAGAAATACACATGAGGCACTTGGCTTCACTGTGCAGCATTTTCTACACCTTATCTCTTAATCTCCTTACTTTCACTAAATACAAAATCATGTTTAAAAGAAAACATCTAATAAATGAAGCAAATAGCATACTACATTAATAGCATTATCCAACATTAATCAAGTTGAAAGAAAAGGAAACATACTGTCTCAGACAGGCAACCTACCTCACTCAAGATGACAATGAACCTGAGTTTTGAATACTGATCATGTTCCTCACCAAGAGGACCAGAGTAATTGCTGAAAAGCAGCACACCTTCAGGTGCTTCCTTATGATGAGATAGGGTCACCTGTGATTGGTTCCAGAAATTACAATAAAAGAACAGGGAAGTAAATAATGAGTGTTTCTTTGGCCACACTGGGTAAAAGAAGATGAGACTGGAACACAAATTTAACTTCCTAAGATATGAGAGTTCTAGTGGAACTGCACAAGCACACCTGCAAATTCAGACTTTAGCCTGAGACTACTATTCAAAGGAATTATTAAGAGACTTAGCTCCTGTCTCCAGAGCTGAAAAGGCATAGAAAAAATCTGCAGTACACACTTGCTAGAAGTACTGTGAATACAATCACTGTTATTCATCTCTCCTTGTGTGAGACAATTTACACTGTCCACCCTTCATCCCACAAGAGCCCCTAATCTGGCAACTCACCAGGATTCACCCTAAGCACACCACCACTCTACAACTTTTCTGGATCTCCCCCAAAACCTGTGTTCCTCAGAGTGTGTCCTTAAAACAGCTAGAACAAACTCTACCGTCAGACATCTGGCCATGACAACACAGATAACCTCACTGCTGCAGACATCCGCTAACTTTTTCACAGTATGTATGTAAGCTGATGGGAGCTTTCCTTTTTATGTACTTAATTATGTACCAGTGTTACTAAACAGAGTACACAGTAAATCACTGGCTGTTTACCCATGGTGTCCTGCTTCTGACTCTGCAGTGACTTATTCCTGCTATGCACCACCATGAGGACGTGCTGTGCCATGAACTACTACTAATGTGAAAAATGAGCAAATATATACATATATATAAAAAAAGTCAGATTAACACTAAATAACTTTCATTTGCTCTTTATGACTACAGACTTAATTCAGGGGTTCATGCGCATAAGGTAAGTTAATTTAGAGCTGAGGTACACTGCAAAATATTTCATACTGAAAAAGGGTCTTACTCAGCTTGGCCTTGAAGATTGCAGATTTCTCATCTCAATCACCCAAGTGGCTGGCATTAAAAACATGCACTGTCATGCCTCCGTGATATTTATGTGACCAAGCATTGAAATCTTGGTAAATCATGGTGACTGAAGAGCCCCAATCTTAAGCAAGCAAGATGACACATGTCTGTGTTCCCAACAGTCAAAGAGTTGTAAACTATCAAATTTCTCCCAATCTCGGACAACTTAATAAGATCTGGGCACAAAAAGAAAACAAAGAAGAAAAAACTTGGGGAAATGTACATCACTGTAAAATTCCGGTGTTCACGCCCTACGCAATGGAAAGGATCAAACACATCTTGAAATCTTTCGAATCCAAGAGGAAAGTCCTTCCCACTCCACACCAGTGATAATATCTGCCATATTTTTAACCCTACAGGATCAGTTTTCTAATTTCTAAGCTTGCCTCAGAAATGATTAGGTAAGATGATAAGACATATCTATCTGTTACTAAATTCTCCTCCCTTCTTTAGGCTTGAGACCTTGGACCTAATCTCAGACCAAGTCAGCAGAGAAATCTTCCTTTATTATCACAGTAAGAACAATCTGACTTCTGGAGAAATTTACTACAGTGGCTGTTGCTCTCCTATTCCAAGTTCACTCCATTTGCTGTTGCATGTTCAAAAAACCCCTTTTCTTATATTTATTCAAGTACCTGCTGATCTTAACTATGGAAATTTACTCCTACTTCAGTAACTTTTTTTTTGGTCTTTTTGATGCAAGATTTCATTATGCAATTAAGGATAACCTTAACTTCATTTTGTAACCCAGGCTTGACTCAAACTCAGATAGATTCTCTGACCTCAACCTGTGGAGTGCTGGGTTTAAAGGCATAGGCCACAATCCCTGGGAAAGTACTTCTTTTATATGAACATTTCATTTGGTGCTTCAGTCTTTAAAACAATATCTAAGACAATTAAGCAGTTATTTCAGAGATCATTCCTCTTTCTCTTTCCAATCATAGGGATGTCACATGTATTAAATCGTTTCTCAGTGGCCAGCAAGATATCTCAGTGGACTAAACACCTGCTTTGGCAAGCACGGGGACCAGGGTTCAATTACCGCTACCACATGCCATGCCAGCCCCACCCCTAGGTGCACTGAACAAGCCACTGATTCTGGGTGTGGTGGTGCATGCCTGTAATCCCAGCGCTGGGGAGGTTGAAAACAGGAGGATCACTGCGAGTCTGAGCTGTGCAGTGAGGCCTTGTACCAAATACATAAATGGGGTTTAACCTCTTCAGGAAGTTCTTTGGGAAGTTTTCCCAGCAGGAACACTTTGCCCTCTCCTGGAAATGCATTAACATCCCCTCATTCTCTCAGTATCCTAAACTCTATAGAAGGCCTCATTTCAATAGCCTAAATGTGGAGAATAATTTGTCTCTGTATAAATAAGCCACCTACCTAGGGAAGGGCTTGAGACAGAGGAAAATTACACATTTTGAGAATAATTAAAATGAGAATAGAATTATCTGGAATGTTGGATCAAGAGTGAACTTTCTGCCCAAAAAGGGATGCAGGCCCTCCCAACTAAAACAAGTTGCAACAAATTTCTAAGCTCCAGAGTCTCCAGGAAATTAAAATAAATGCTATCCAATGTCTCACTAAAATCTCAATTTGTTCTTACCAGTACATTCTGGGGAAATGGGTTCGAAAGCCTGATGTTAAAGCTGTTGTTTTCTGTCCACAGAGGTACCTGTGGTCGAACCCCACTAAACAACTGAATATTTATCATCTTCTGCCTATCTATAATTAGCTCTGGATCACACAGCCACAGGGCCATTTCCTGGGGATAGTTACAAGAATCAGGGAGCTATTATTATTTCAAACAAAATCTCTCTTAACTTTCTTTTTATTTGAGACATTATTCGTCAATGTTGTGAGAAAACGAGCTCTATTCATGCAGTAATGACAGCTGCAAATAGAGGTCTAACGTACAAAATTACAACGATGCTTTTTTTCATTGCTGAGTATGGAACCCAGGGCTTCCCCAAGTTGCTGCTCTTTGCAGACTGGTGGAGCTACCGCTGTGCCTGGGAACGACCAAGAAGGCACTCTGGGTTGGCCTGGGTTGGTGGTGCCTGTAAGCACACCAATAAGGACGGTGAGGAAGGAGGACTGTTGTGAGTTTAAGGCCTATCTAGGCCACATAGTGACCTCAGGACCAGCCTGAAATATAGCCAGACCCCACCTGAAAAAAACAAAAACAAAAACAAAAAAGAGCAGTGTCATGGTAAGCTGTCTGTACGCTGGGGATCCAGAACTGTCCCTGCCTGAAGAAAGCGGGAAAATGTTACAGATGATGATGTAGTACCAAAGACAAGCAGATCTCATGTCCAGGGTCAAGCACGGAGGCTGTGCATAAATTGCCACAGCTGTTTCTGACCACTTCTCTCCAGAGCGCACCCTATTCCATCCCATCCCCAGCTCCTCTCCCACAACGTCACCATTGTGTGGCTTGAGGGTTTCCCAGGATCCTTTGAATGCAGCTCGCAGCCAGTGGAAGTTACAGAACAAGGCGGTCTAATCATCTTGAGAGCTGTCAGCAACACACTCACAGAACACACTGCGGCGCCATGACAGAGGAAGTACCCTCCTCCCTCGGCTCTCGTGATTGGGTTGTTCACAGAGCCCCACCTTCATGACTGATTGGCTCCTGCTCGGGCTGAGCGTGAGGAGAAACACAAACCTCTAAGGTCGAGGGTGGACTCAACTGGTAGCCTGAATCCTAAGCCAATCTCCCCTCGCCTGAAGAAGGCTTCCATTTAGCGCTTCACTCCTGACTTCAGAGCTGCCCTTGTTTTTTCTTGATGGACTCGGTGAACTCTTCCTTAAAATGGCTCACAAATGTGCTCGGAAGATTCCAGGATGAACGTCCTTTGAAAGATTCCGTGCCCTGATGACTGAAAACATGAGTCCAAGCCAGGATAAAATGGAATTGAGAGGGACCCTGTTACTAGGAATGTGGAAATCAACTTCACAAGCCTCCTTCACACTCTCAGTCTATTCATTTTCTCCCATGAAAATAAGTAGACACCCCTCTAAGAGCAATACAATTATTGTGTAAATAGAAATTAGAATTGAATGATAGCAATATTTTGGAAAAGAGTAAAGATGAAAGAAAAGCAAGCATTCCAACTCTCTGTGACAACTGTCACAATTTAGCCACTGTCGTAAAACACACACACACACACACACACACACACACACAACACTTCAGTTCTTAAAATATATTTCTCACCACGAAGTTCAGAATCATTGCTGGAATGGCTCCACGTCTGATTCACCTGCTCACTTCTTGGTGATGAGACTGGGATACAAAGGAACTTTAGACTGTAAATGCTCAGGCCCTGTCGTGGCTTGTCACAGGTTGACATTCTCCACCTTTCAACATTAGTATTCCTAGAAAAAAAATTACATGGGGTCAGGTGATACACTTGTGTCACTAACTTGTTTGGCATGAGAGGTGTGCAGGATATTAGTAAAGTACGCTTCTTGGCGTGTCTGATTGAGCTGTGATGTTATGACATGAAGGACCAAATCTTGATCCTGGTCTTTCCTCTCAACCTGTTTCCCTTCTCTCGGGATCCTGAGCTATTTGGCCAGCCCTTAACAAGGGTCAGATTGCTTTGTATTCATTTACCGTGCATTGGTGCTCAGCGTCTTTAAATCTGCGCACAGCCATTTTACTCCACAAGACTTTATGATGAGCAGAACAATGATGAGCAGAACACTGACTGCCAGTGCACCTGTGGTCTTTCACCCAGTTTATCATTTTTGTCCACGTTGTTTTTGGCCTCTGATGTGGTGAGAAACATTTCTTTTACATGGATAAAAATGATGCATAACAAAAATTGGATCCCGATCCGGTCACCAACACTGAAGTGGCAAGCAGAGACGGACTGGAACAGAGGTTTCTGTGCCGAGGGCACCGATGTCCAAGGGTCAGTGCACTATGGGTTGCTTCCCAGCTCATGTCAGAGGTTTCAAATCAGTAGTCCCATGTGAAACTCAGTATGCCCTCTAAAGTTTACATCTTGGGAATAGAATATCTAATGACAGTGTTGAGATATGGCACCCTCTAATAGTTGATGGGCACATGAGTGTCTTCCTCTCCTGAATGCAATGATGTTATTAATATTAAAGTGGATGACTTATGGCTGGGGTGAGCACCGTATATATTGGGATTCACCCACGCTTTCTATCATGTATGTGGTTAACTGGCATTCAACAATATATCATGCAAAAAAATGGTCTCACTTTTTGTGATGCTCTTAAACTTTCCAGCTTTAGTATTGTAAGGTGTATATTTCCATACATTATTATTATTATTTTTTGTGTGATACCCTGACTCAAGTATGAACAAAACACTGTAACACTCAGTCTTTATTGGATATAAAAAAATAAACACTCCCATTCAATATGTTTGAGAGAGAACTGTGATCATAGTGGGACTATGACAGCAGATAGAGGTTGAGGGCCTAAAAACCCTTTGGGCAGGGACAATTTTATTAGAGAACTAAATCTCCCAGGTGGCACAGGCAGTCCAGAGGACAGAGCCTGGGTACCCTATCTGGAGACATACATGCCTTTCAGTCTCTACCTATGTGAATTTGGGATGTTATTCAATTTTTCTAGCTGAAGCTTTCATCAAGAAGACCGGAGACAATCAGAGTGCACGGCTGAATTCCTTTGACTGATTCAAGAATCTAACATGCAAACAAAGTTGTGAATGTTGAAAGCATTTACTTTCTGAGTCTACAATTACAGAACATTGAATACAAGCTTGGGATTTTGGCACTGGTGATAGAGGAATAATTCTGACCTTCAGCACACATATTTTAAGTCAGGCCATAAACACACAGAAGGACAGCAGGGGTGAAACAGGTCCCATAAAATCTCATGATTTATTTTTGAATGGACATGGGAGGAGATAAGCCACAAGAGAACTATACTATGGAGTGGCTTAGATATAAAAGCAAAACAAAAACAACACTATAAAACCCAAAACAGAAACTTAGTTAACATAGTGTAGCAACAGTGGAATTTTCATCAGACAAACACAGACTGGGCAAAGTAACAGAATTTTGGGGTGTTTCTATCCAATAGGAAAAAGTGGGCGGTAAAACTGAGAGTTTCTAACATATGCTACCACTTAATATAAATAAAGCTGGCTTTGTTGACAGAATCATAAAGCCAAGCACCGCCTTCTTGGCCAGCCAATACCCTAACAGGAACTGATCACTGGGATTCTGATTTGTTCATGTTGCTGAATTTTTCTTAGTTTTCATCTGATGTATTATCATTGAATATAAATGTTCAAAATTGTGATATGACTGCCACACCCTTGTGTTCTACTGCAGGCACAAAGACAGAGAAGATTTTGGCAGAAGGCAGTGTCAAGTCCACGTCTCTGTATACTTGATTTAAATTATTTATTTATTTAAAAATATCATTTATTTATAAGTATATGTGGGTATTGGAATAGGTGACATTCATGTGGATTTTTGAAAATAGATAATGAAATTTTTGAAATGGGTAATAACCCACGATCTACCATGAATATTGCTTTGGTTACCACTGTTGCTGCAGAGACAAAATACCTGACATGAAAGTTAAAGGAGGAGAGGTTTATTGAGCTCACAGTTCATAGCGCTATACAGCCCATCTCCAGCTAGCTCCAAAGCAGGATGTCGTGGCAGAGAGGCATCACAGAGGAGAAAAAGTCCATGCCATGGCAGGGCAGGCAGAAGGAGGCAAGCAGCTGCAGCAAGTCTTCCTCTCCGTTTTACACAGCCAGGCTACCAGGCTATCTAGTGGTGCCATGCACACCCAGCTTGTGTCTTCTCTTATCCAACCCCTTATCCACCAATAACACCAGGAATCCAAGTATCATACTCAGCAACCTTTGAAACTCCATATCTGTGAAAACATGAGACTTTTGGTACATCTAGATACAAATCAAACAAAAACCTCTTCCGTGAATGTCTGGACAAGATGCTAGGTACAATTCTCCATGATTAGTTCTCACATCCCAGTCAGAACCCTAAGGGTCTCTTTGGATCCTCACATTTAGATCCTGGAGGGCTTAGGAGAACATATGTGTTTTGTAATCCACAGCACACTCACCCTCACTCTGGTCCTCCTGTGTTACCCAGCCATCCATCATGATGTCATTGTTCCCTCACTGTGTGCTTCCATTGACCTTTGTGCAGGGAATTGTCATGAGCAATGCAGGAGCTTTCCATCCTCCATTTTCCAAGGTGATAAATCTACCTGCCTGTAACAATTCTTATGCATCCAATATAATATGGTGCTATTCAGATTTTATGCATTTTCCTACAGAGGGGATGCTGGAAATGAATTTTTGGCTTCCTATGTGCTTGGAGCAAAAACCATATGTAACTTCAGAGGTCAACTTTAACCTGTTGCTAAAGTCAAGGTTATGATCCACCAAAGTAGAAAATATGCCTTACTGCTTATTCCTAAATCTGAAAAGGCACACAAAAAAGATACAACAGGATCCACCTAAGAAATTATCAGTGATTTCAAGGATATCTCAGAAAGCAAAAATGAAGAGCTGGCTCCATTCCAGGAGACACCATGTTCTAGGAGGTGTGCCCACCCTGGATGATGATGTAAGTGCTCATGGGACATCACAGCAAGGACAGGAACTCTCAGTCCCTAAACCCAGGACAAGTCAGTGATGATGCTGGTCTCAGGGGAGGAAGAGAAGGATGAAAAGATGGAGGATCACTTAGCTTCACAAGACGAGTTGGATCATGAGGTCTATGGCCACTTCAGAAAGGAAGGGATGTCTACGTGGGGACAGCACCTCAGCCTGCCTTCAGGAGCCGTGAATGTGATGTGGTGAGAAGTGCAAGTCATTTCCTCTGGGTAGTATATTCCTGATTCATGGGAAATTGGTATCAGGAAACAGACATTATTTAGTGTGCAGAAATCATATCATATATTATGGGAAATCATACTAGATGAGTGATCAAAAACTACAGAAGTAAATGATTTGTTCTAATGGTGTTTGTAAATAGGATCTCAAGTCCGCATCTTGTACAGCAATTAACCACTAAGAAGAATATATGCAGTGTGTTATCTGTTGAAAAAAAAAAAAAGAAAGTAATACCTGGCACTCTATTAATGTTTGAGAACCATCATTTCTATGGGATTTGAAGTATTGGAAAGAGCATAGAGTTATAAGATGATGGAACATAAAACCTTAGAGGATAATGATTTTTTAAAAAATGTTTGTAATATTTTATTTTATGCCACGTATTCCTATTTTTACTTTTTGGTAGTTTGTTCTTAAATGTAGACTATTGATCAGATTTCACAAAAATGAAGAAGTTTTATAATTGTATGCATTAAATCAATGATTAAAAATAAATAAAATCCAAAGCTTTAAAAAAAAAAAAAACAAAAACTACAGAAGTACTGTGACCCAACGAATAAATTGAGAGCTCTAGCAAAGACAAATGAATTTTGTGAAAATGCGGGTATTCAATTTTAAATTACTTTCTTAAATGAAATGGATGTGAGTATGGAAATGTGTGTGTGTGTGTGTGTGTGTGTGTGTGTGTGTGTCAGAGAGAGAGAGAGAGAGAGAGAGAGAGAGAGAGAGAGAGAGAGAGAGAGAATATAATAGAAATTAAGAGGCTAATTGTTAAGTTCTTTGGTGGATGTGCAGGCCCTAGTTCTGCTCAGCTAGCACGAACAGGAAGATCACAGCAAGGACCTCTGGATGCTGTCCCAAGTCCAGTCCAGCTGCCCTTCTTCCCTCTCCCCTAAGCTCAGGGCTCTGCATGGTAATGGAGTTGAGCCCAGGGATGACGTCTCCTGAGGTGGCCCAGCAGAGGAGAGAACTGTGGTCTATGACCATTTGGAGAGGGATGAGAAAGCTTTTTAATTCCCTAAGCTGAAACACTTTTTCCATCATTGGATATTCACCCTTCATTGTGGTATATTTAGCAATTTGGTTTTCAAATGTTTATATTATTATTGCTATAGGAGGCAGAGTCTCACCATGTATACCAGGTTGGCGTCCCACTCACGGTGTAGACCAGGTTTCTTTGAAGGCACAACAATTCTCCAGCTTCCACCTCCCGAGTGCTGGCATTACAAACATGCACCACAGTGCTTGACTGTATAACTTCTTAGATGATGATGACTTGAAATTCTGTCACCTGACTTAGGAAAATTCACAGTCCCCTTTGGGTGATGCAAAAATGTCTTTGGTTTACAAAACTTGAATGAAAAAAGAGGACAAAGATAAATGAGTAACTAAACACACACACACAAACACACACACACACACACACACACACACACGACTTAAATTTAACAAATAAAACACCCTTTATTTTCTTTGGAAGTGATTCTTCACAAGTCCATTGTAGGAGATGAACTCTCCAGGGTCTCTCCAGGTCACATGCTCACGCAGAGGTGACCCAGGCTGACACAAAGCTCTCTTTCCAGCTTCCTGCTCTGTACCTTCTTTCTTCTGGGGTTCTTCCTGGTGGTCAGTGAATCCCTAGTGTCCTGCTGGTTCTGGGAGTCACTGCATGGAGATTTGTGACTGAGTTCTCACTAATGTTCTCCCACTGTGTCTCTTGCACAGTAATACAAGGCCGTGTCCTCAGCTGTCACAGAATTTGGCTGCAGGGAGAACTGGTTCTTGGGCATGTCTCTGGAGATGCTGACTCGGCTCTTCAGGGACGGCTCATAAACTGTGCCTCCAGCTCTGTCAATCCGCCCCACCCACTGCATCCCCTTCCCTTGAGGCTGGCGGATCCAGGTCCAGGAGTGCCCACTGCTGATGAAGTAGCCAGAGACTGAGCAGGTGAGGGACAGGGTCTGCGAGGGCCTCAGCAGGCCAGGCCCAGTCTCCTGCAGCTGCCCCTGGGACAGGACACCTGGGGACAAAAATCCACAGTGAGACTTGAATCAGATGCAGCTCTTCCATGTCTTCCTGTCTGAATCCCTGACACGCTCACCTCTGGGAAACACTGGCCAGGGAGAGCAGGAACCAGGACTGTGTCATGTTCTTGCCAGTTAGGCCCACTAATTCTTGGAGGTCCCTTCATGATTGACGGAGAAGCTGAATTTAAGCAAAGCCTTGCTGTTTTAATCTGGCTGTCTAGTTAGGTATTTGCATGAAGGATGTATACTTGTATATGAAAGCATGCATGAGAGAAGGTGGTCCCTGTGGCTCCCCTCAGTGGGTGATCTTGGTTATGCCCTCAGAGAGCTCAGCATTCTTCCTGGGTTCCACTGCACCAGTCCCAGGCTCCTCTCCTTCCAGGACAGGATATGAAGCAGACAATTTCTCTTGGAGCTGGATATATTCACAGATGAAGAAAATAATCGCAGTTATAGTAACCATTCCCCAGATGCCAGGGATTAGCAGAACAGTACATGTTCAGTAGAGGGCAGTTGTTTATGTATACACACATGAATTCACAGAACATGATGGACACTACAGGTAAATACAGATATATACATGTGCTGTCAAGTGAACGGTTCCAACTCAAATCCACTTCCATTTTCACAAGCTCATTTTAGAAACATGGATGCTCCAAAATATTTTGGCAGCAACAAAACGTGGCAATCCTATTTACATTAAAGTAAACTGACACTGACACAAAATTTATTCTAAGTTAAATGGGCCTGAGCGACTCACATGACTTGGGTCCACATTTCTCCAACTGAAATGCATTCAGCTGTATGCAATAAAGGGTCTCTATGGAGAGGAAAAGTATTCACAGAAGCACACATTTTAATTTTAGCATGATATAGATATTTGCTCACGTGATGTCAGTTTCTAGCATTGTTAAAAGAGAACTCAGCGACAAAGCCTTGATTTTCACATAGAGATCCAAGTTACTGTATGGACACGGTAGACTTGTAGACTCCCGCATTGCCGGAGAACACTGGTGAACAGGAACTTCCTCAGAACTGGGAAAGGTAAGGCTGGTAAAACACTCTGCTCCCTGAATCACATGTGTTGGCCAGACACTGAACTTCAAGGACTCAGCCACATATTTTTTTTTTCCAGAACCAGGGATTGAACTCAGGCCCTTGCACTTGCCAGGGAAGCATTTATTCCGCTGACTATCACCCCAGCCCCACATATTTCTAAAGTGTCAATTTTTTGTTCAGTATTGGAAGAGTATAGATTATGTGATATATATATATATATTTTTTTTTTAATTTAAATTTAATTTTTTTTATACAAGGTCTCACTATGCAGCTTGGACTCATCATGATCCTCTTGTGTCAGCCTCCCCAGTGCTGGAATTACAGGTGTTCACTACCATGCCCTGTTTCAGTAGCTGGCATGGTGCACCTGTGGTTCTGGGGTTGGCATGGCATGTGATACCAGAGCTCGAACTCAGGACCTTGTGCTTCCATGCAGGTGCTTATGCCGCTGAGCTATCTCCCCAGCACATATGTGACATATTTTCTACCTCAGTGGAGCAACACATTCATAATTCTTGGCAATCAATCTGCACTCTTAGTGGTTTGCAGAAGGAAAAACTTCTCTGATGACTAAGGCCTTATTCCTGCCATAGAGACTAAGTCCCATTGAACAATAGACCTGACAACTTCCCTCTGAGGTCTGGGACTGTTCAGGAGATTGCAGGAGTAAGCCGTGCTGTAGATCAGAGTCTGGCTCCATCTCTTCCCAGTATAAGAGCTCAAACATGTGGACTGAGTATGTCTTGTGTGTCTGGGACTTTATGGGGCACAACTGGAGAGTGCAGACAGCACTTAGCCCCAGGTACTAGGAATAATGTTTTTGTCAGATAGAAAACATTAACGATATCACATAACTCTTTGATGCCTCTGGATTTGCATGGACAAATGTAAAAATAAAATCATATAAAAATGATCCAATGCATTATTAATAGGCATGTTGATAAATAATGAATGTTTAGTATTTATCACAACAAAATACATAGAAGGCATAATTTTATTAATACTATCCTCTGATATTCCCAGACCTTTTCCTCCAATGATGGAAAGTAACATGGTTCTTCTACATAGTAATCCTCTTATAGAAAATTATCTCTTTATCATAGTTTTGATGATTAATAAATATCTTTTGAGACAACATATAAAATTTGTTAAATTTTAACATAATCATCATTTTCAAGATTTGGAATGAATCAAATCTATTACAATTGTTCTTGGGTTTTCTGAAAGTTTTCCGTTTGAAAACTTCACTTATTCAAACATTTCCTTGGGCTACTACTGATTATGTTTATGTTACATTAATTTTCATTTACTCAGATTTATAAAAGTGGTAACATATCATACATAATTGTATTTGTCTTACTTTAACATGAGTAAGCACTTGTAAATTTGTTGTACATATTACACATGCACTGATTGCAAAAATTGATATTTCTGCAATAAATAAATTTACCAGAATTCTTTATCAGTTAAGCTGTTGTGGAAGAAGTAGGCAGCTAAGAAAAAATGTTGCTCTTTTCCTTAAAATAGCACCGAAATATAAGATAAACAAAAAGATAAAGCTATCTTGTTTCCTTCACCAATTCAAGCAATTTTATGCACTAATTCAGATCCAACCATATACTTGGGTTGAAAGACATCATAACAACATTGCTAGTTGTAGACTTAGATTTTATTTTTGGTATATGACTTGAGGAATCTTCCATTTTACAGATCATGACAGAATCAAAAACTGGAAGTGGTAGAGCAGAGGGTTTTGTAAGTCAGATACAAAGAAGCAGAATCAGCTGCTTGGCTGATGTCATGTGAATTCAGTGTGATTATGTAGCAATGATTACGAATTATTTCATTTTGGCTTGGTCTGTCCTATAGGGGTTCACTGCATGAGTTCAAATGAAAATAAGATTTCATCCATAGTCTTAATTACGTCTCCTTGGATCTGCAGCTAATACTTAAATGTTTGGAGAAACTAGTTCACCAGAGAGACAGCTGTGGCTATCAGGGGATAGCACAAAAGCTTGGAGTATACTTATTTGTCATACTCCCCAAGGAGCAAACCAGATAGAGTTCGGTAACTCCTATGAATGCTTTGTCTGTATCACTATGACATGTTTATCTTCTGCAAAATTGGCCCCGCAGGAATTTTATGGTCTTCTTGGCGACATTATGGTTTACACATATCAGACACAAAAACATGAAATTTTGGTCAAATCCACCAAATAAGAAATAACTGCCATCTGGGTGGGAATACACACCTAGAACTCAAGATATTGTCAAAATCCTACATGAAAAAAAAAAAAAATTCTACATGAACAAGTCCATCTACATTAGTCACTGAATATATAAAACAGTAAAGAAGTTTCGATGAAAGGAAACATTTGAAATCATATTTTCTAAGATCTTATTCTGAATATGATAAATATTACACAAGATCCACCTTGATAATCCAAATAGAAACTACTGAAGAAATAAAAACGTGTTTGAATAGGCACATCGTAAATTAGATCTGGTTATAAAATTGTAGCACAAAAAGGTCCCCTCCCTAGCCAGTACACTTCAGTTTGCTAGTTGCCCAGTGCTACGGTTTGTGACTGGTTGTCCCCCAAAAACCTCATGTAAGTATGGGGCAGATGAGGAGCAGGAGTGGCTTGAGGAGCGGGGCCAGAGGACCAGGGTGGGACTCGTGGGGCGGGGCTGGCGGGGCGCAAATCGTTAAAGTGGCAGCACGTGCTCTGCCCACCCCCAGGCCTGCAGCCTCTCAGAGGTGTGCAGTGGGCCATCCTGGACATGGCGGCAGCCTAACCTCTCCTTCAGACCCTGTAGCGTGGGCAGGCAGCGTCTGAGATTGAGGCTGCCTCGGGCAGAGAGGAGATGCTTGGAGAAGACCCCTCTCCTGAGCAAATAAGACTCTGAGGTCTTGCTACATAATTCAGGCTGCTTTATAAACTATGAACCCTCCAGTAACTGTGAGCTAAATAAACCTTTCCTTCCTTTATTTTGTGCTGGGCATTTGTCCCAGCAATGAGAGAGGAGTAAGTGAGACACCTAGCTAATCGATCTTCTAGTAACAGCTGCTCCAGCCTCTTAGCAACAGCTAGTCATTGTGATGCATAGCTGGTCACCATGGTGACTGATGTATGACGCAATCCTCAATTGACAAGCCAGTCTGCCTTTGTACTTCCTGCTTGCTTATCTCATATAAGCCGCAGGCCACCAGAGACCAGAGCTTAATATTAGGAGTGATCTTTTTTTTTTTTAATTTTAACTTTTTTTTTTTTTTTTTTTTTTTTTAACTTTTTTTTTTTAATATTTATTTATTTTTTTTTTTTGTGTGTGTGTGTGGCCAGCTCAGCCCACCAGGGGGCGGGGCTGGCTGGCATGTGGTGCTGGGGTATTGAACCGCGGTCCCTGTGCTTTGCTTAGCTTAGCTTGTTCTAAGTAGGTGCTTTAGACCACTGAGCCATCTCACTAGCCCCTTAGTTATTGCCTCTGGATGTAAAATAAATTTGCCTCCAAACGCTAGTTGACATTTAGTGTTTCTGCCTGCCTTTGTATTTGGTATGTCATCAGGGAGAATAAACCATTCTGAATTCTTTGGTCCCTGGTTGCGGCCCTCACAGATGGAGCAGGGAGCTCTCTAGGTCCCAACAGGAAAGCATGCTTTCAGTATTTCTCAAGTCTTATTAGAGGTCTCAAGGATGTTTTCACAGAGTTTGCCCCAGTCAATGCGCATGACAAAATTTTAAAACTACTATTTCTTTATAGCAATATCACAGAAATAGCAATAGTTAGTTAGTTTTTATGTATTTAGTACAGGGCTTACAGGGTCTCACTATGTAGGTCGGACTCATAGTGATCCTCCTGTTCTCAGCCTCCCAAGTGCTGGGATTACAGACATGCGGCACCATGTCCCGTCTCAGTCGCCCTCTCAGTGCACCCTGGGGGTGGGGACAGCACGGCATGCCAGGGATTGAACCTTGGCCGCTGCGCTCTGCCCAAGCAGGCACTGTGGTCCGCTGAGCTATCTGACCGGCTCTTAATTTTTTTTTTTAATAATAGCCATTTTTTCTGGAGTGAGATGGAATCTCAGCATTGTTTTCATTTGCATCTCTCTCTTTTTTTTGTCATTTTATTTTATTGTATATATTTTTTAATTTTTTTCCACTTTATTTATTTATTTTTGACAACTCATACAGAATTTTACTTAACAAAGTAATATGAATTTCACAGTATTTGTTGTAATACACGGTATTGTCTTACAACCAGCTATTCATATTACCAGATATATACACATAAAATTGGAAGAAGAAAAAAACTGGAGCAATGTATAAGAAATTAAGAAAAGAAAAAGTACAAACAATTGAAAAAAGGAGATGAAGCTAATTAGAGCATTGACTGCTTCTTTCCATTTCCATTTTTTTCTTTTTTTAAATTTTTATTTATTTATTTATTTATTTTGTCCTGTCAGAGGTGAATATTCTATTGGCATCTAAATACTATAAGTGTTTGAATTCAACTAAACATGTGCATCTCTCAAATGGCCAACCTCTATTCAAATGTTTGACTTTTCTACTTCTTCATCTGAGAAGTGTCTGTTTATTTCAGATGTTCATTTCTGGATTGGGTTTAAAGTTTGGAAATCTGAATATTTGAGGTCTTTATAATTACTAGGTATTCATCACTTGTCTGAGGAAGAGCTTTGAAAAAATTTTTCCACTCTGTGTGTTATCTTTCAGCTTAGTTGTACAAAACTTTTTTTTTAAATAAAAGAAGTCACTGTTGCTGATACTTCATGATATTTCGTATGCAATAAGATTTTATACATAAAGACTGCCACATCTACATCTTCAAGCTTGGTATGCACAAGGTCATGAGTCTGATAGCACAAAAAAAGTTTTACCTATTCTATCACTCAACAGATTGTGTTTCTGTTTCGGTATGT